ATGGAAATTGTTCATTAAAGTGAAACTTTTTTACCATTGGATATGACATTTGTTTCCATTGCCAAAAAAAATTCAGCAACCTGGAAAACATTTTCAGCCAAAAGCAAGAAAATGGGCGCGTGGGGCGGCGACTGGGAAAAAAATTTCCTTGGAAAAAGTTACTGTCAAACAGGCCAAAAGCAAGAAAATGGAAAAGATTTTCTATTTTCCATGGAAAAGATGTGCTGTCAAACACAGCCTTAGTCCTTACAATCTTAAAACAAGCAATTGGTTCTTTTGTTGTGCAAATTTGAGTTAAATTATCTAAATTTTCTTGTTATTCTAATATTAAATCTAATATTTCATTCATACCTCTTTCTAGTTTTATCCATATATTATTCTAATTTCAAAATGAATTATAGTAGATTGTTGGACACTAGTGAGCTCGACGAAATGTTTGGTGGCTTCGACACACTGGAAAGTGTTGTAGTTCCCACTTTGTCTTTGTTATTATTTAACGATTTTAGTGGTCTTAGTGACATTTCAATGCTTTATAATTTGGGCAATGATTATGGGCATGGGATAATGGATCCAATTGAATTGGACGGCATTGAAGAAGACATACAATAGTTTCAGCAGTAAATAATGAATGAAGAAATAAATTATTAAGTGGTGGGAACACTTTAAATTGGTTGTCACGGGATGATAGATGGGAAGTCAAAGTATAAAGCACAATGTAAATACAGTAAAGAAAGATCAGCTTAGCAAAAGGGAATCGATATGAATCACCTAAATAGGCATACAATGATCGGGGTTTTATACATAATTAGTTTCAACTTTAATTTGGTTCTCTTGGTGGTGCAAGTTCTAGTTCTTGTCTTACCAGCCCAGTCTATTTCGAGAATTATGAACAAAGATATGATAATGTAGTTCGCTTTAGGCCCCCAAAATCACAGGACCGACATGATACCTTATGCGTATATTGATTCAAGTGGCATTTTATGAAGCAGAATATAGAGCCGTTATTGACATATCGGGGTGTATGTGCCTCTATTTTATGATGCAACCATCGGCACAAATATCTTTTGAGAATTATGAGCAAAGATACGATAATGTAGTTCGCTTCAGGCCCCCAAAAGCTATTCAAGATAGAAGGTAGACAGTGAACCAATTGATTTTGCCTTATTT